TTGGTTTTCGACCGAGATCTGCAGTTTTCACGCTACTGCAAGACTCGCCTACATATAAGGGCACCTTATTTAGAAGGTGGGAGAGTGTAATGAATGTGCAATTCATTACTGTAGAACTGTCCTTAGCAAGGACAGCCCCGAGCAGTTCGCGTCAGTGTGGCTCGGCCTACACTTTCGCACCGAACCAGCCCCGAGTCGCCCCGCACCAATTGCGACATTCCCGAGCCACGCACATCGAGGTCCTCGCCTAGCACGGTTTCGACCCTATAAATGCTCGTCTCTTTATCATTCTCGTCATTCTGTAATTCTCATCCCTTTTATAAAGTCTTACGCGCACTCTTCTAGTACAACTCATAACAGCCCCAATAATGCGTACAGTAACCACTCAAAATATGTTACGGTTATGAGTTTTGTACGGAATTGTAATTCCTTACTGTACTCACATTTTAGCGAGTGTAATCCGAACACCACGCGTCAGCCCGGTTCGGCCTACGTTTCCGGCCCGAACCACTTCCGAGTCGCCAACGCTCCAATCGCAACGCTTTCCGAGCCATCCTAGCCCGACCTCTTCGCCTAGCTAGGATTCGCCTTATAAATTCCCGTCACTTTCCTTGTCTCGCCATTGGATAGTTCAGTATTCTCGTTATTCGTTTTACTGCGCACTCTGCAAGTTCATTCATAACAAGTTGTCAAACAAAGTTGCGTGTTATGAGTTGCACTAATCAGAGTGCGCGGAAGACTTTATAAAAAGGATGAGAATTACAGAATGGGGAAACAATGAAGAAAGTGAGAATATACCGTATTCTCCCAACTATAGGACCCTCCCGAAAAAATGACCCCCCGGGACTTAAAATCGGTGCTCATACAACCAAAGGCTGAAGTGGATAGGATAAGATCTGTTAAGTCTGAGAGGAGACAATGAAGTCTCTGTAGTGACCTTGTTGAATAATAATTGAAAGAGAACAAGATGATTAAAAGATAGGAGTACAAGAGATTAAATAGAAATCTAGCTAGCCATGTACTCTGAGGGGTACATTCCCTTATTAACTGTATTGCATATCTACAGTAACCGCGACTATTGCTATCCTCGACAGTTACCATGTTGCAGTGAGTTAACTGTCGCGCGGTTACTGGATGGTCAAGGGTCACGACCGTTGACTTCCTTGGACGGTTGACCTTCGGGTGACCCTCGACATTCCGCATGCTCTATATGAGCTACTGCGGTACTGGTACAGTGGAATAGCTTCGGGAATGCTTATATAACCTTTCGGTTATTCCAACACTCCCCTTCATTCCTGAAGGTGGGCCACGTGGGATTTCTTGGTGATCCCGCAGAGGTCGGCGCAGTGCTGGTACTGCTGACGTGGCAGTTTCTTCGTCAGGAAATCGGCTGCCATGTCACCGGTCGGGCAGTACGTCAGCTTGACTCTCCCCTTGTCGATTTCGTCCTTCACGAAGAAGTAATGAAGGGCGATGTACTTGGTGCAGTTGACGAAGCTAGGCTTGTTCGCGATCTTTATCGCGCTCTGATTGTCGCAGAGTAACTTGAAGTGCCCGTTCTGTCAGAATCACTAGGCAAGAATGATGAACTAGCAGAAGTTTGGGTACAAATATGAAACCCTAGTTGGGGTTGTACCCCATATTGGCTACCCCACTACAGCCTACAAGCATACTACAGTTTAACACACCCCCATAGGCAAAGTGGGGGAGAACAAAGGGTCACAAGACCAGTCCAGCAAAGCAAAGCAACGCCCAGGGTGGATCACAACGTCACCACACTCCGAGCACAAGTAAAGGCCACAAGGCCAGTTCACATGCAGTGCTAGATATAGTACAAGACAAGCAACACAGTGATCAAAACCTAGCAAGCAAGCAACAAGATATATATAAAGTACAGTACAAAGAATGTCAAGCAGTGAGCAAGTGAGGAAACGTGGACACAAGGCCTAAAGAAGTACAGTGCCGCTGATGATCACTAGGCGGGAGCGCCTTGGTGAAGATATCAGCAGTGTTGGCCTTCGAGTCCACGTACACAAGCCGAAGCTGACCGCGCTGCTGAAGCTCTCGAGCAAGAAAGTAGCGAAGAGCAATGTGCTTCGTCCTGTGCTCTAGTCTGTGCTCCTGACACAAGGCAAGAGCCGCCTTGTTGTCACCGTACAGAACTGGAGGAGAACTAGGCCGCTCTCCCAAGTCAGTCAGCAGGTAGGTGAGCCAGCGTAACTCCTGTGCAGCCATGGCTGTGGCGTAGATCTCAGCCTCACAACTAGAGCCGAGAACAGAGGAAGAGCGGGTGGACCGCCACGAGACAGAACCAGAGCCAAGGCTGAAGGTGTAACCCTGTGACGACCGCTGCGTAGCCAGGTCGTCCACCCAAGAGGCGTCCGAGTGACCAGTGAGGACAACTCTGTCGCGTCCTCCAAGCACCAGCCCCATGCCTGATGTACTGCACAGGTAACGCAGCACCCTCTTAGCAGCCTCCCAGTGCTCTCGCCTGTGTCTCCCAGGCGCAACGTAACGAGCAAGGATGCTAAGAGGGTACGCGAGGTCAGGTCGCGTGCAAGTCATCAGGTACATGAGGCAGCCTACAAGCTCTGGGTACGGGCCACTCGGCTCTACGGACTCGTCCGAAGGTGGAGCTGAGAGCGAGTGGCTGGTAGCCAGAGGTGTGGCCTGTGGTGAGGAGAACTGGAAGCCGAAGCGCTGAAGGACCTGCTGCACCATGTGTGACTGAGTCAGGGTGATGGTGCGGCGAGCTCTGTCCCGGGTGATCTGCAAGCCAAGGTAGCTACGCAGTTCACCCAGGTCAGTGCAGGTGTGTCTCTTCTGCAGCTCCGACTTCACACGAGCGAGTGCCTCAGTGTCAGCAGTAGCAAAGACCAAGTCGTCGACGTACACGAGGATGTAGAACGGCGGCAGCGACGTGTCTGTGCGCAGAAACAGCGACGGGTCAGCAGTAGACGGCGCGAACCCAAGAGCCGCAAGAGTAGTCCTCAGTGTGTCGTGCCACTCACGTGGCGCCTGGCGGAGACCGTAGACTGGCCGGCGGAGACTCCACTGGGTACCAGGGGGAAACGACCCAGTAAAGCCAGGTGGGCGGCGCAGCCAGATCTCCTCGTGCAGGCTGCCCTGCAGGAACGCTGTGCTGAAGTCAAGAGAGTGAAGCTCGTAGTCACGCTGAGCAGCAACGTGCAGCAGAACCCGAAGAGTGGTCATCTTCGGGGTGGGGGAGAAGGTCTGGAAGAAGTCGACCCCCTGACGCTGACTGAAGCCTCTAGCAACGTAACGAGCCTTGAAGACAGGCGGAGAACCTGGCGGCCGCTTCACCCTGAAAATCCACATGCCATCGATGATGTTCGCCCCAGGAGGGGGAACCTCGTCGACGTAGGTGCCTGTGGACTTCCAGGATGCCATCTCTGCGTCCATGGCTGTCTGCCACTGAGAGGAGTAGGGACCCGAGATCGCCTCTGCGTAGGTGCGCGGAGTGGGGATGTCTACTGCATCCGGGTCTCCCTCAGGGGCAAGCAACCAGGCCACGAGATGAGGTACAGCAGCCGCAAGTGAGTCAAAGTCCTCCTGCCTGTCCTCAAGGACGTCCGTGCCAAGAGCACACTCACCCCCGACGGACGGAGGACAGACTGACGCAGACTCTGACTCAGCGACAAGGCTAGCAGCGTAGTCTAGACGACAGGCAGCAGCAAAGTCAACCAACTCAGCGACCAGAGCAGACGCAGCCGAGGACTCAAAGGTGGGGTCAGTGACAACAGTAGCAAGGAGACGCGTGACTGTAGGGTGCTCAGCGCGATACCGGTCAGACTCAGGGTCCGGAACGGCAGGCAAAGAGGACGCAGGAGGAGACGGTAGAGGGACACGCCGAGGAGCAGTAGAGGGACGCAGAGTCATGTAGTGAGTGCCTGGGACAGGCGGAGGACGCTCACGACGGACACGACTACCAGTGCGAGCAGGACGAACAGGCGACGCAGGACGAGACTCAGGCTCACGACGCTCTGTAAGACCTCCTGTGGGACCAGTATAAGGAGAGGGAGCAGGGAGAGGCGAGGCAGGCGGTAACTGTGACTGCGGCTGGACAGGCGGAGGACACTCTACGGAGGGAGGAGGACAAGGAGGAGGAGCCTGCCCAAGAACCTGCTGAAGGAGCGGTACGAAGTACGGTCGCGGCCGCGCAGCGTCTCTAGAAGCAGAAGGGACTCCAGCGGCCGGGTCCTCAGCACCAGTAGGAGCTCCAGCGTCCGGGTCCACAGCACCAGCAGCAGCTCCACCGGCCGGGTCCCCAGCTCCAGCAGCAGCTCCACCGTCCGACTCCTCAGTACCAGCAGCAGCTCCACCAGGTGGGTCCGCAGCACCAGCAGCAGCGCCACCCCCAGAGTCGGGAGCTCCAACTCCGCTAGCACCGCCAACGCCAGAGTCCCCAGCTCCAGCAGCTCCAGTCGCAGCGCTCCCAGAACAGCCAGTCCCAGCAGCTCCAGTACCCCCAGTACGAGCACCCCCAGGACGAGCAACTCCAGCACCCCAAACTCCAGTCGAGCCACTAGGACGGCGAAAGCGTCGGACGTACCAGTCACGAAGCTGCTGCGGTGTGAGAGACTGCTCAGCACCCCGAACCGGAGCACCCCCAGACACAGTAACCCGAGGCTCAGTACCCGCAGGCTCAGCACCCCCAGTCGCAGCACCCCCAGGCTCAGCACCCCCAGGCGGCAAACTCTCAGGCACAGTACCCTCAGCCCCAGCACCCGCAGTCCCAGCACTCCCAGGCCTCGCACCCGCAGGCTCAGCACCCCCAGGCGCAGCACCCCCAGGCTCCGTACTCTCAGGCACCGTACCCTCAGCTCCAGCACCCTCAGTCCCAGCACCTGCAGCCCCAGCACCCCCAGGCCCAGCACCCCCAGGCTCAGCACCCCCAGGCTCAGCACTCCCAGCAGCACCACCCGCAGCAGCACCTGAGTCACCTGTGACCTCGACAGGCTCAGCGACGGGAGGAGGGTCTACCTGAGAGACACCTGAAGGAGCAGGACCCTGAGGGGGAAGGGGGTCTACCGGAGGGGGACCAGGAGCAAGGAAAAGCGGCGGGGGAGGGAGGGGGGCAGTGCGGTAGGGGAAGAGACGGTAAAAGGGGACCGACTCGTCAAAGGTGACATCCTGAGAGGCGAAGACCCGGCGCGAGGTGGGGTGGTAAAACTGCCAGCCAGGCGCGTCAGGGACAAAGCCAAGGAAGACACAGGGAAGCGTGCGGGAGGAGAGCTTGTCCGCAGACGTATCGCGGACAAGGGCACGAGCACCCCACACCCGGAAGCGCGACGCATCGCCAACCTCCCCCGTCCAACGCAGTGTGGGCGAGGTCTCCGGCAAGGAGACACGGGGCCAGAGGTTGAGCTGATGCGCGGCGTACCGGACAGCAAACGGCCACAGAAAATGGGGAGCCGCCGCGTGGACCAAGGAGGTACGAGCGACCTCCATGACCAGGCCAATGCGACGCTCAGCAACCCCATTCTGCTGTGGGGAGTCCGGAAGCGTGAAGGTCTGCTCGATGCCCTCCGCCTGACAGAAGGTCCTCAAGAGGTCGGAGGAAAACTCACCACCTCTGTCAGAGTGCAGACGCAGGACAGGAAGATCCGTCCGGAAACGGCGGCGGAGCTGGAGACGAACCGTGCGGATCCAAGGGATCAGAACAGCAGGGACCTCACCCTTGGTGCGCAAGGGGAAGACCGTGGTGTAACGCGAGTAGTCGTCGACAACCAGCAAAAAATACCGCTCACCGCCCTGACCACGAACGCGGGCTGGGCCCCACACGTCCAGGTGGAGGGTCTCCAGAGGAGCCTCTGTCGGGGGGAACGAGGAGGAGTGAGGAGCGGCGCGCTGCCGCCCCTCGACGCAAGGAAGGCAAGGCGGCGCAGGCGAGGCAGGGAGGGGAGGGAGGGACCTGGGAAGACCGGACACAAGGAGGCGACGGTGCATGCCACGAAGGCGTGGCAAGGAGGGGTGACCCAGGCGGTGGTGCCAGAGAAGAGTCTGGTGCGACAGGGAACGACACTCACAGGCGTGGGCCACCAGACCTGACGCAGACACCTGACCGACAGCAGCGACCTGGGGAGACGCAGTGGTCAGTGTGTAGAGACTCGACCCCGGCCGACGGGTGAACGTAGCCAGGTGACGGCCGGTCCTGGAGCACGTGCAGATCGCCACACGCTGTCCGCCAGGGGTAAAGGTGTCAACCCACTGATCCTGGAGGACAGCGTTGCTCACCAGGTTCGTCGAGAACGAGGGGAGGTGGAAACCCGACAACGAGCCAGACGGAACCGCCGGACAAGGGAGGACAGTGGTGGACTGGGCAAGGACTGGGCCCCCAGAGGGGTCAGCCAAGGAGACTGGGACCGGTGCAGGAAGCGGTGTGAGCTCAGTACTGTCACGAAAGAAGCAACGGGAAGCACCTGAGTCAAGGGTGAAGGTGTGACAGGCCTCAGCCGGTGCGGTACCTGAGAGAGGAGTCTGTGTGGGTGCTGTACCTGAGAGAGCAGACTCGAAACCAGCCGGGACAGCACTGGGGGGAGCAAGTACAGGGGGCACCATACCAGAGAGAGCAGACTCACTAGTACCCAGGGCAGCAGGCTCTATACCTGGGTCAGGCGGCACACACAGGTAACAGTCTCCCTCGGCACTAACAGTCAATGCATACATGGCAGCAATAATAGCATCATAGTCAAGAGCAAAGACATCAACACCAGCCCTCATGAGCTCAGCCCAGCGGGGGCGCTCAACATCCGCACCCATCTCCTCACGCCAAGCGTCGTCAAGGCGGGAGAAGCAGCGGTACGGGGTGTGGAACCTCCCACACGTCTGTCCCTTGCGGTCACCTGTGCGAATGACATAAGAACAGCGGGCACTGGCCCCCGACGTCCCACGCTGAGCAAGCCACTCACGAAGCTGCTGGGTCGTCTGGGGACGCTGCTGCTGCTGGGAGCTCTGGCCAGAGCCAGTGCCTCCACTCCGACCTCCGCCGCCACCACTACCACCGCTCCGACCGCCACCGCCACCACCGCCACCACCGCCACCGCCGCCACCGCCGCCGCCGCCACTACTGCCACTGCTCCCTCCGCCGCCCCCGTCTCCACCCCCGACCCCACTCCCACCAGCGCTCCCGCCACCGCTCCCTCCAGCACCGCCTCCCCCCCCACCTCCCCCACCTCCTCCCCCACCAGCGCCACCACCACCACTTTTGCCCCCCTTGCCCTTGCCGGTGCGGCGCCTCCCACCAGGAGTAGAAGCAGCGCCAACAGACTCAGCACCAAGGAAGTCAACAGCAGCAGCAGCAGCGTAGGAGGGAGCGAGGGGAGAGGGAGAACACCCCTCAAAGATGGGGGTGCGAGGAGCGCCACGAGCAGCACCGACAGCTACAATGCTCTTTTCGGCCGCGAGCAGGTGCTCCTCTAGGAGGGCGACTGTGAGCTCAGTGGGACAGCGAGCAAGGAAGTGGTCTCGAACTGAGCGGAGGGTGTCAGGGAGACGGGTGACTATGAAGTGGAGTGTCCAGTACAGTGGAGGGGGGTTCTTAGCGCAGAACTCGGTGGGAAGGGCGGCACGCAGGCGAGCATCACTAGTGCGAAGGTGGGTGATAAGATCGGCGACTGTAGTAAAGGTGGACAGATCGGGGAACAGGTACGGCAGCATGAGGCGGCTAAGCTCGGCTGTGGCAGGCGAGGAGTAGCGAGCGACGACAGCGTCGTACAGGGCCTTAGCGGATTTGCAGTCGCCAAAATGCTCTAGCTCAGCTAACGGCAGGTGACTGCGAATGGCTAGGCGAGCAGCTGCGTCACGAGTCTGCCAGTGGGAACGAACACTAAGCTCAGCTGTGGCAGGAGGGGCAGGCGCAGCACCAGACGCGTAGTCATAGAGCGACACATGCTCCTTGCTATCGCTCAGGAGAAACAGCTGCAGGTCATCTAGCCAAGCGGTGAAACGCACAGGGCGGCCCTCAGCATCGAACGACAGCACGCGAATGGAAGCCATAGCGACAGTGTGACAGAGTAACGCAAGCTGCCGCAGCAGGGGAAGGCGACTGTGCACGGATAGAGAGCAGCGGGCGAGGCTGGCGCTACGGGCAGGCGGCGCTGCAAGCGGTCAGTGCGACGGGAGGGCGACGCTGCGAGCGGGCAGCGCGGCGGACGGGCCGGGAAGCGGGCAGCGCGGCGGGCAGGCGGCGCTGCAAGCGGGCAGCACGGCGGGCGGGCGACGCTGCGAGGCGGGCGGGCCGCAAAGCGGGCAGCGGGCGGGCGGGCGGGCTGCGAAGCGGGCAGCGGGGCGAGCGGGCTGCGATGCGAGCGGGCCGCGAAGTGGGCAGCGAGCGGGCGGGCGGGCTGCGAAGTGGGCGGGCCGCGAAGCGGGCAGCGAGCGGGCAGCGAAACGGGCGGGCCGCGAAGCGGGCAGCGAGCGGGCGGGCGGGCTGCGAAGTGGCGGGCCGCGAAGCGGGCAGCGAGCGAGCGGGCTGCGAAGCGGGCGGGCCGCGAAGCGGGCAGCGAGCGAGCGGGCTGCGAAGCGGGCGGGCCGCGAAGCGGGCAGCGAGCGGGCGGGCGGGCTGCGTAGCGAGCGGGCCGCGAAGCGGGCAGCGAGCGGGCGGGCGGGCTGCGAGCGGGCGGCTCGGCGAGGGGCGCGCGAGGGCGCTAGTGAGGGGCGCGCGAGGGCGCTAGTGAGGGGCGCGCGAGGGCGCTAGCAAGGGGCGCGCGAGGGCGCTAACAAAGGGGCGCGCGAGGGCGCTAACGAAGGGGCGCGCGAGGGCGCTAACGTGGGTGCGCGCGAGGGCGCTAACGAGGGTGCGCGCGAGGGCGCTAACGAGGGCGCACGAGGGCGCTACGAGGCTAGGGCACGGGGTAGCGTGGTAACCGCATGCGAGCGGTGGTGGGCCCTAAAAAAAAAACGATCGGTAGGTCCTAGGGACCTCCTGCTCTGAATACCATGTCAGAATCACTAGGCAAGAATGATGAACTAGCAGAAGTTTGGGTACAAATATGAAACCCTAGTTGGGGTTGTACCCCATATTGGCTACCCCACTACAGCCTACAAGCATACTACAGTTTAACACGTTCATCGTCACTTTCGCCTCTTGCAGGAGCTCCATCAGGTACAGTCCTTCGCGAACAGCTGCGCTGGCTGCGATGAATTCTGCTTCTGCTGACGAAAGAGCGATGAGTTCCTGCTTCTGAGAGTTCCAAGAGATGAGTCCTACGGGTTGGAGTTGGAAAATGAATCCTATGCGGGAGCTTCTGTTGTCAACATCTCCTGCATGGTCAGCGTCTACGTAGCCATGGAGCTGCAGGGTAGCAGTGAGGTTGGCTTCGTAGGTGAGGCCGACGTCGGGAGTGGAGATGAAGTATTGCAGTGCTCGGCGTAGATCTAGTAGATTCTCCCCTTCAGGTCGTTTTAGGTACTGTGCGAGCTGACTTGCGACGTAGGACACCTCCTTCACTGCTGCGGGTAGCTCGGAACCCGGTTTCACCTCTTCTGCTGCTGCCATGACCAGTGCTAGGTAACCCGTGTTACTCTCGTTCACCGTCTGTTCGAACCGTGCCAGTGTCGTTTCAGGAATGTCCCCTGTATCCGTCCAGCTTCGTAGTGCTAGCCGCTTCCCGTTGTTGTAGACGCACACCTTGCTGTTGACCTCGCCCCAAGATAAAATCTAACCCTTTGATGTTGGTGACTGGTAGCTTCGGCTTCCACCTCAACGCACGTATATGTAGCTGCAGTGATGCTTCGCCGTGGATGGGAAGCTTCGTACCGTCCACCATGGTTGCTGAAAACTGGGTCTCCTCCGCCTTCTCTCCATTTTTTTCCAATGTTTCGCGGTCACACACCAATGTTCCACCTCAACCACCACTGTCCACCAGTGCCTGGAGGCGTCGCCCATTGCATAACACCTCGAGGAGTAGTGGTTTCTGCTGCGCTGAGTAGCCAAAGAGGGTCTCAATAGTATCATGAGGTTCATCAAAATGAATACCTTCCCTACTTCCTATACCCGACTCAGCACTTTCCAACTTCACCTGGGGGATACGAGGATTTTTCTGAGGCTTGTATAATTTCTCCTGAGCCTGGATGTCTCCTCTAAGCCTTTGCAGCTGTGTAGGCTCCACCTGTGGGCAACGGGGAGAGAATATTAACACCACGGAACGCACGACCCTTTTCTACGCTCCGTAATACTTTGCCCAACTTCTCAGGTACCTGAATAATTTCTAAAGGCTTTTTCTTGGCCTCTAATTCTTCCCTAGATTTTTCAAAGGCTTGAAAACCACGAGAAGCAATATTTTTTGTTAGAGTATCTTTATAGGATACTTTTAACGAATTCTTACTTTCGTAGGTATTCGGCTGGAGTTTCCCGGTCGGTGCAGAGTCTTTTTTCGCGGAGCCACCGTTCGCCTCGGTGATTTTCCCTGATGCCGGCCGGTCGTGACGTTTTATATTCGCGCCATCATTTTCTCTTTTTTTTCACCCGCTCCGAAGTCGCCACGTCGTCGCCTTTTCCTGCTTTTCGGATCTTTACGCGATCGCCAGGTCGATCCGCGGCTACTGGCGATTCCCGCTTTTTTACTTCAGGGGTGCTCCACTTTTACCGTCCCGGAGTGTTGCACGTGCTTTCTTCATTTTGTAGCACGACAAAATCTGATGCCCTGCTGCGCCGCAAAATTCGCATTTCGCCGGCTGCTGCTTCGCGTCGTATTTGTCGATATCCATCGGTTCGGCGAACGTGGGGGGTGCCGATCGCTCCGTGCCGAATGTACGGTTTGGTGTGAAACGTCGTGTTTCGGGTTGACCTCGAGTCAGCGCGTCGTATCGTTCGGCTGCACGCACGATGTCCCTGTAGCTGTCGTAATTCGCCGCGATCACCTGCCGCCGAATCTCCAATTTTAACCCTTCTGTGTACGCTTGGATTTTTTCGCCTTCGGTCAGGTCGGGGATGCGGTTGAACAGTAGCTCCATCTGCTGCTTGTACTGTGCTACACTACTGTGTTGCTTGTGCCGATGAATTTGTTGTCGCGCGGGTCGTATTAATGGGTTTGAAATGTTCGATCAGGTCTGTTCAAAACTGCGTCCACGATTTCTCCTTGCGGGCCACGTCAGTGTTGTAGATCCACTCGAGTGCCGGTCCACGTAACAGTGTCGCTGCGAGCCGAATTCTTGCTGCGTCATATGTCGGGGTCGAACAGCCAATGGCCTCGAAGTAAATTTCGAGGGTGGCCACGAATCGCCGGACGTCGGATCCCTTCGCGCTTGGATCGAACGCCTCAGGGAGCCTCGGTCGTGCTGCTTCGAGGTTCGGAGACAGTGGTGGCATCGGTCTGTGAAATGTCGATGTCGCCACTGCTGCTAGTGTTGTCGGTGCTGCATTCGCTGCGATCACTGCTGCTGCGGTGGCGAAGCCTGGTTGGTTTGTCAGAAGGGCTTCGAGTCGACGAAGCGTCGCCTGCGTCTGCTCCATGTCGGTGCGGAGGCTCGCGATGTCGCTCGTGGTCGCGTAATTGTCGCCTTGGCCCTCCATGCCTGACATTAACGCGTCCGAAAATCCAAATCGAGGGGGAGCGAAAAACACGGAACCGGTTTTACGTACCCGAAATCGATGTTTAACTGCGTCGCCCCCGCGGTTTTTTTAAGACTGGTTTTTAGCGGTCGAAAAAACTTCGCGTAAAACGGGCTCTGATTACCAAGTGTGAGGATCTAGGATCGAGCTCAAAAAAGAGAGTTTGAAT